CCCTCTACGCAACACTGGTCAGGCCACAGCTGGAGTACTGTGTCCAGTTCTGGGCACCCCACTTCAAAAGGGATGTGGACAACATTAAGAGGGTCCAGAGGAGGTCCATCCGCATGATCCGGGGACAGCAGGGCAGACTCTACAATGAGAGGCTACGGGACCTGAACCTGTTCAGCCTTCACAAGAGAAGGCTGAGGGGGGACCTGGTGACCGTCTAATGAACTCACTAGGGGGGACCAGAAGGGTTTGGAGGAGACCTTGTTTCCCCTAGCGCCCCCCCAAGATAACAAGGAATAATGGCCTGGACAAGAATTTTGTCGAGTCACTTGCAAATTTTCAAAGACATGGATGCCACTTCCTGTTGATGGATTCAATTCTTTTCCCCACCCCACAAAAGAGATTCTAGAGGGTAACTGTTATTTACCCCCAACTTTAATATGTGAATGCTGCAAAATTTCCTGTTACACTTCTTGTTCAATGTTTATTGGGCCATTTAGGAGAGCTAGTGAGGAAGCAGGACCCAATGCAAGTTCAGTACAACTAGAACTTTGGCAAGGATGAAAATATGTTGGTAGAGATTCAATCCAGATAAAACTGAGGTGGTAATGATCACATTGTTTCCCTCAACTTGTTTCCACAACACTTACAGGTATTATTTGGGGGCTGAAAGCCTGGATATCAGTCATTTGTTCCACACGTGTCACATGGACATGGTTCTAGAATTACATTTATTTGAAGAGGATTCTACCACTAGTATGAAGAGAAAGGGCTACAACCTTCTGTCTCATACACACACAGGGTGTGTGTGTGTGTGTGTGTGTGTGTGTGTGTGTGTGTGTGTGTGTGTGTGTGTGTAATAATCCAGACTAGGGCTGTCAATTAAATCTGTTAACATGCATAATTAATGCAAGAACCAATTAATGCATTAATCATGCGCATGGTTTTGGAACCAGTACCCAGGCTCCACTCTGAGATGCTGCATGCAGGTGTGCAGCCACAACATGCATGAGGCCAGGAATGCAGTCCAGTGGCATGTAGAACAATGCCCAGCAGGTAAGCCTGTGGAGGAGAAGGGGAAGGGGCAGATGGAAGCCCCCCCCCCCAGTGAGGGAGGGAGTGGGGCAGGGGTGGTGGTAAATGGGACCCCAGAGCCAGGGTGTGTCGTGGGATGGAGCCATGGGTGGCTCGTCCAGGGGCACGGGGTAAGCAGGGCTCCCTGCCACTGTGTGCACCCCTGAGGGAGGCATGGTGGGGGCATGTGCCCCCTGGATTTGTGCACAAGGCAGAGGCAGGCTGGGACTTGGCACTACCTTTGAGAACTTGGTGCCCTGCTTGGGACCCATGTGACGCCATGTTGTGCCTCCTGCTGCTGAGTGAGAAGGGGGTACAGCACAGCCAGCATGCGGTTCCTGGGGCAAAGGCAGCAGGGTGCAGAGTCCCAGCCCACAGTGGGAAGCCCACCTCTGCCCCACATACAAATCCAAGGGGCACATGTACCCCATGCCTCCCGGGGGGGCGGGGGGTGCATCAGCAGGGAGCTACCTCCTCCCCTTCCTCCGCCATAGCTCTGTCCTGCTCCCTGCCCTGAGGTCCTATTCACCCCAGCCCCTGCCCCACTCCCTCCCTCACCATGGGGGCCTTGATCTGCCCTCCCCACCCCTTTCCTTCCCCCAATCGCACCCCTTCCCCTCCACAGACTTACCTGCTGGGTGCTACTCTACATGCAGCCCAGCTGCATTCTTGTATGGTTACAATATTTCCAGTTTCAAAAAAAGAAGATGGGGGGGGGGAGGGAGAAGGCAGTGATATGCTTGTGCCCTACCCCTGCCCCTCACTCCCAAGCCACAGCCCCCTCCCCCACAACATTGCTGATGTTCCTCACTCCTAACCCATAGTACCCTGCATCCTGCCAAGGCATATGGGGGTCTCCCCGAGCTCCAGACCCCCTGCAGGGACCCTTCTCTCCCCAGGCTCCAAACTGTCCCCCATACACCCACAGCCCCCACACCTTTCCAAATTCCATCTTTTCCCCACACACACCCTGCACTCACTCCCTAACTATACAAAGTACCTGCATAATTTTGCATCATTTTGAGTTTTTAGCTGTGCCATTAAAATCACGATTAATTGTGACTAATTTTTTTTCTTAAATCACACAACTAATCATGATTAAATGTTTTAATCATTCCATAGGCAGCCCTAATCCAGACCTGTCACTTAAGAGATGAAACTACTGCAATATGCTGTAACTGGCTACACTTTAATTTGAAAGATGAAGTAAACAAGGGTATGGCCACCCACACATTAATGGATGTAATATTTGTCCAAGCACCTGAAACTGGTTGTTCAGGAACAACATCGGCTCTCTACTGGTTTTTAAGTGGCGTTTAAACTATGTTGATTTTGACTAATAAATTCTGAAAGGCTCAGTTCCTGACTGCCTCCTCTCAATTAATATCAGCAGAAGTATGAGTTAGTGCTCCCTTCGACAGAGGGACAACTCCTGACAGGACATTTCTCTGTGCAAGCTCGTCAGTTTAATCCCTCTGTCAACCTAATAAAGAGCTCAAATGAACTAAGTAGGTTTTACAAAACCCATAGTTTTTTGTTTTGGTTTGGTTTTTTTTTACTGGAAAGGCTGAGAGGTTTATAGCAGTGGTTACCAACCTTTTTAGGCTGCGACCCTAAATCTAGGTCGCAACTCTCGCCTCCCCACCACAAACACACTCGTGCCCAGTGGCGCCAGCAGAGCCCAAGCTGGGCCAGGATCACAGGGGGCAGCAGCAGCAGCAAGAGCCATGTGGACTATGTGCCGGGAAAGCCCCGCGGGGGGGGCAGTAGAGCGAGGACCCCTGATTTAGGCCATACCCCGATGTTGGGAGCCACTGGTTTACAGGATGAAAAGAAGTCTTGAAGAATTGAGAACCCGGAAAACTGTTACACTCCATACAGCAGGGCTGAGTTGCAGGTCATGCACAGCTATTTTTTTTCCCTTGTTACTAAAACTGCACCTGTTACAATCAATTACTTCATCATACTACCAAAAGCACCTGGGATAAGTACCCTTTGTATAATTTCAATCATTATATAACTTGTACATTTAAATAAAATAAAAATAAATTACAATATAGTAGGTCTAGTCCATACAATCCAGTGAGATGAAGATGACATGACATGCTAACAGCATGCTGTGGGAATGCCAAACACTACTTTGTCCTACTTAGAAGTAATTAGAAAGTCATGCTTAAAAAATGGTATTCTATCCTAGTTGGTCAAAGTCAGTGAAGTACTTTGCCTGAAATGGACTACAAGCAAACTTTCCATTCTTTCATATCATAAGATTTTGGATTTTAAACTTCATTGCAGAACAACGAGGAAGTTTTTTTGCCTCCCTGCCTGCCATTTGACACCTCCAGGGAAGGAATTCTACCTGATCAACACATTAAAGAGCTACTCAACACAGCTCACAAAGACACTCTCATGGACCCAGTGGGACAGACTTCCATCTTCAGCTCCCTCTGTACAAAAATGAAGTTTATTTCCTACCTACGGGGACTTGTACCACCTTGTACCATCTACACTTTTCTCAGAGCCTGATGAAGGGACTTTGATCCTGAAAGCTTGCAGAAAAGGACAATTTTCTTGCCATTTTCCACTTGGTCTAATAAAAGGTATCATTTTAGAACCAAGCGTTCTAGTTTTTTGTGTGTCTTCATATCATAAGTACACTCTTTTAGCTATAACAGTTCCTCCAAATCAACTTATAAATGACTGCAAGAATTGTCTGGATCTCTTCTGCTACTCGAGATTTTTTTGGAATGTGTTACTGCTTTTAGTACAATTAAAGCACATATTTTAATAACAAACAGGACAAACAAGGTGTGTACAGAAGTATCAACTTCACACAGGGCTCAGTTTTATTGCATACCTACTAATTAGCAGGGCCAATATCAAGGACAGATCATAACATGAGCTCCCTATGTGGATCCAACTTCAGCATTGAACTCAAGATAGCTAAACCTACCATCTGTTTAGTAGGTGATGGAAGAAGCAGAGAAGTTACTTAATTACCAGACTTGCCCGACTTTCCACACTTTTACTCTTTTCTCCACTCATTCATTCAAACTGATCACATCTTAAAATAAAAAAAACCCAAACCATTTTCCTCTTTATCACTATTAGCAAAAAAATGTGATGCTTCTTGCTGACTACTGTAACTCCTCCTAGGCCTTTCTATATCTGCCTGCCCCTACAAAATATACCAGCTACCTCTTGAACTGGTTTACCATTACATGTCTCCAGAAACAGTGCATGGTTTTCCCTCTATTTCCATACTGAGGGTGAAAAGTAAAAGTTTAAAGTTCTGCACTGTACCACTCCACCTACATTCCTGTTCCTCTTAACACCACTTCTTGGTTCCTAATCCATTCCTTCTCAAAACCTCCTTTACCTCCTTTTGTGTTCTCCTACTCTCAGGATCATATCCTCATCCAAGCACCCTTCCAGCAAGTCTGTGTGGTAGCTGGTAATACTATCCTGTATTGCACTTTGCCAGCTCCCATTACAATTTTAAATTCTGAGTCAGGAAGCTTAATGACAATCCACTGGTACAGTCAGAAAGCTATAAAAAAAATCTAGATTAATTTAAGGCCTTGTACCAAATGATAAACTCCAGTATCTGCTATTCAACCAAGAAAAACCAGACAGAAACTTACACAAATGTCAATAACCATTTAAGATATCTTCGGCACTTGGTTTTTCACAAGCTAGTGTTAAACATTTTGCTGTTCTGGAAAACAGAACAATCCAGACCCATGAACAAAGACTGGTATCATGATTAAGTAGCATGCAGCATACTGGATGATGCCAGTAACTTCCTTTTCCTAATGAAAACGTTTTGATTCCAAAAGTAAATATAGTTACCATCTGTGAATTGTAGAAAGATATTAAAAATCTTAAAAAAGGAGAAAAAAAATATTTGAAAGTCATAAAAAGGATACACTGCAAAAGCCAATACAAGCAGACACCAGACTATACTGATATTCATTTCCTGTGAAGGCTTCATCAAACTGTAATAGGCTTCAGTTACCAGATATACCACCGTGGCTGCAACTGTGAAATCCACCAACCACTGATATTCAGGAAAATAATGCAATGCTGAAAAACAAAGGATTTTCAAGAAGTAGAAAGCACAAATGACCTTTTAAAGACAAGCAATGACAAAGCTAACATAATTTGCACTTAACATATAAAGCATATTTAAAATACTGTATTCACAACAGCTGTTACTACTTGATGTCCAGTTAAGTCCAGGATATACAAGTAGCAGCAGCTGCAAAAATCTCTCTTCTACATTTGGTAAGAGGTGCACTTCTTTTAAAACACTCATGTCCCTGTTGTAATGAGATCAGGTAACTGTAGCACAAAATATACAAGGCTAGCTTGTAAAATCTATTCAGACAATTAATTTAAATGTGGAATTTAGTATTCTGCTAAGTATTTTACATGCTATTTATTTAGAGGATTTTTTTTTTTAACCTGAACTTCCTGATATGAACTGGCTTCCTAATTCTTTCTTCATTTCAAGGCAAAGGTCTAAACAGTTTGTCTTAAATTTTGTAATCTTCTGAGAATGTAAACTACTTAACATATTATATTGAAAAATATACAATACAAACAATTGGGGACCTACCCAAGTCTGGGTGAGACAAATAATTTTTCATGGCTCACTTGCAGTATACAGAGATTTCACAGGTATTTCATAGAGGCCCTGCCCTTTGCCACTAATTGGCAGATGGGCCTAGTGGCCCTGCCCTTCGCTGATGAGGGAAGGGAGGAGGAATGTGGCCAATGCCGGATTTCCCAGAAACTGCAGATAATATTGTTTTTTGTAGTTTCTGTGAAACCACGATTTAGGTAGGTCCCTAAATACAATACACAGATTATATTCTTACAAAGAATAAACCAAAGATTTGTTTTTGAGGATTCTGATTCCTTTCTTGGTTTTCAGAACAAATTGTGAAAATTATGCAACATGAAAGTATTTAACTGGGCACCACAAGTATATACAACAGCCCAGACAGTTCAGATGGCTTAAGAGGAAACAGGTTTTTTTTGTTGTGAATCCTAGAAACTGCTCAAAGATCTGCTCAAGACCACAAATGCATTTAGTAAACCAAGACCTTCCCATTCTTTTCACATTTCATTAGGTAAACCAAACACTAACCCTGAGCATTTATCCCAGGGAATGGATCGAGGTAGTAAGTGAAAATTAAACTGGTTACTATCAAGATATTTCAATGCAAATCTAAGACAAATACTTCATTTAGAATAACAGTACTTTTTCTTTTATGGATACAATCTTGGGTCCACAAGTATCAACAGCAGTCTAAATGTTGCCTTTAAAACAAAACATTGCTTTACTGTCAGTAAAACTTCAGTAATAATGAATCGCATTGTTTTAAACAAACAGCATTTAACAATATTTGAAAATTCTTTCCTTGCTCATATGCTACTTTCAAAAGTCTTACCTATATTTCAAATGAGGCATTTTAAGTTCCTGTACTAGTTACATTAAGTTAATGACTCAACTGGTATGCTGCTGCACCCCAGGGTGCCTTGAGATATTTTCAATGGTGTCATAGTTAGAAAGCTATGAAAAACTGGGATTCATTTAATGCTTTGTACCAAATAGTAAGCTCTAGTACAGGGGTGGGGAAAATACAGCCTGTGGGCTGGATCTGGCCCACAAAGGGGCTTTGTCCAGCCAACGGTGGGTCCTTTGACCCTGCCTGGCCGAAGCACTGCCTGGCCATGGCACATCCTGCTGCCCCCCTGGGCATGAAGCAGGGCTGGAGCAGATTCACAGCTGGGCTGTCTTACAAGGCAGCAGCAGCTCCTTTTGGCTGCCGCTGTCCCCAGACCTGCGGTAGCAGCAGGGACCAGCTTGCACAGCCCCGACCCTATGCCTGCTCCAGGCTCAACCATCTGGGCTGAGTAGTGGCAGCATGGAACAAACGGCTGCACAGTGCAGAGCAAAAGTGGCCCCTCCCCCTTGCTGGCATTTTCAGGTGTAGCTGCACAGAGCCCATATGGGGCTGCCCTGAGCTGCACAGACCCCATATGGGGCTGCCCATCTCCGCCTCATCACTGCCACCTCTGGGCTGCCCCGTGGGGCAGCAGTGGCAGAGCAGACACAGGGCAGCCCTGTGCAGGCTCCGGGTGGCTGCACCAGGAAACGCCAGCAGCAGGAGAGGGAGGGGCCACTTTTGCCCCACGCCAAGCAGCAGTTTCTTTCCCGTGCCACTGCTGCTCAGCCTCAGTCCCAGTGTAGGCTGTGGGCTCACCCGTCCAGGGTGAGCAGCAGCAGTGGCTGGGCAGAAACTGTTGCTCAGCACAGGAGAAAGTGGCCACTCACCTTTGCCACCATGCACTTTTTGGTGCAATCACCTGAAGCCCATGCCGCACCAAGTTGCCCTGCATCTGTCATCACCACCTGTGGGCTGCCCAGAATGGTAGCAGTGACAACGCAGAGCAGCCGCAAGGCAGCCCAGAGATGGCAGTGACAGAGCCGTACCACAGCCTGGTGCGATACAGGCTCCGGCCAGCTGCACCAAAAACTGCCTCACAGCGGCGATGGGGTGGAGCTGCTTTTCCCCATGCCAAGCAACAGTTTCTGCCTGGCCAGTGCCAGTACTCAGCCCAGATGGGCGAGCCCAGATCCAGCACGGGGCATGCAACTGTGTGCACTGGTCCCTCCCACTACCATGAAGCTGGGGGCAGCAGTGGTGGCAGCTGGAGGGAGCCACCCCAACCCCAGTGCATGCCCAGGAGTGGTAGAATGCGTCAGGCCAGGTGGCACAGAGTGGGCCACACTGGGCTGTTAGCGGTGGCGGGGGAGGCACTGCAGGATGCACGGATTCTGGGCTGTTGCAGGGCAGGTGCTGACCAGCTCAAGGGGGGCGCGTGCAGGGGCTTCTACATACATCCCACAAACCTCCCCCAAATTCCACAACCATACCATCCTCCACACACTATCACACACCCCACAAACAGCAGTCATCCGCATGCCTCTGGGGAAAGCCTAGCTCACTGCCACACACTCCCAGCCACCCTCCCTCTCCACAAGCCCCATACCCACCCAAACACATTGCCACACACCCCCACAAACCCCATATCCACACCCCGACTTCCACACACCCCCACATACACACGCCCCTACACCCCCCAATATACAAGAGTAAGACTTCATTATGAGCTATTATGCAATCACTTCTATATACACACACACACACACACACACACACACACACACACACACACACACAACACAAACTCACACAAATCCAGACAAAAATATTTTAAAAAATAAAATTAAAATATATTAATTACAGATGTTTGAATTTTTAGTATATAAAGGGGAGGGGGGGGGTTGGTTCCAAGATAGCAAACCCCCTTCCCAAAAGGAATATTTCCAGGGGCAAGGGAAGAGAGTCTTCTAGTGGCAAAGGTCAGAGGTTAGCTGCAGGACTTCTGGTCCCAAGATGGCGAACAATGAGGGGGGGGCACTTGTCAAGGGGTGGGGCAACCCTTGTGGCCTTCGACAGCTCACCAAAACTCATTAAGTGGCCCTCTGCCCAAAATAATTGCCCGCCCCTGCTCTAGTATCTGCTATTCAATTAAGACAGGCCAGATGGAAAACTGTACAAATGTCAATAACCTCTTAAGCTCTCTTCGCCACCTGGTTTTTCAATATTGCCCAGGTCACCAGAACAGAGCTAGCTCAAATACTTAAATGTATTGAATATATACACAACATGCCACACAATGTTAGCACAGTTCAGTGTGCAGCCATGATTCACAAGATAAACCCAGGAATTCTGACCTGTTAACAGTCTTTCTGAGGTCTCTACAACAGAAGAAATGCTCTATTTTTTCCTGTAGTGAAAAAATGAGTGAAAACTAAGAGCTAGCATTTTCCAAAGGGTACCTTTGAGTCTAGAAAGGTTGAGAACCACTGCATTAAGTTGTATGGAAGATCTTCTCAGCCCAACACAGGCGTATCTATAAGTCTCAGCTGTATCACAGTTCTGACATACAATTAAATATGGGAAATAAGAGCATTACCTATATTTCCCATAGGAAAATAAAAATATAGAAATTAACAGTCCTTCCTCTAAGCTTTGCCTAATAAGCCCAGAACCTTTGAAGTATATGCAAGTGTTTGCTTCTGTAACATCTTTGCTTGGTTCATAAATATTTCACTTAAAACTTCTCAGACAGATACATGAAATTATATGTTTCTATGCTGTAATGAACTTAGTGTTTTATGAAATATTTTTCTATACCTGTCAACTGACTCTTTTGCCTATACTAATCTAGGAGGAGATTTCACATGCCTATTTTCAAATATGTATATGATCCTAGCCTTCAGATATCCTCCTATATTAAGAAGCCTGTTGCAGTATCAGATGTGCTTCATGCTGGATTTTAGCTCCGCATTCTTTTCTGCAATGCCACTATTTAGATGTCTCTTATAGAGCAAAAGATGTCATCTTAAATTCTTGCTTTTTGGCTCATTTTTTCTTTATGAGTTTTTTTATTCTCTCCTCCATAAAAAACATAGAAGTATATATCACAAATGTACATAGAATGAAAAAAAAAAACACTGCATAATTGAAGAATATATTATGACACACTAAATCCAACTGTAGTCTTTTCCTTACCTAAAGTGTCCACTTCTGTAACAGATTTTGTTTCCAGATGAAGATCAATATCCTTTGGAATGGTTAGGGGCTTGTTTTCAATGTGACCATTGTATTTCCTGTTAAAAAAGAAAAGAAAAAAGTATGTGCGCATATAGTATGTGCAACAATGTTATAACATCTAAACATCTAGAGGAAGCTTTTAAAATGCCTATGATACACATTTTTCACATGAAGACTTAATTCTCTATATACAATGAGTATCTGAGCTTAAGTTGGCACATATGAATAATTATTATTAACTCTATCTTGTCAGAGCTTGAAATACCATTGTGGCTATGCACATAACTAAAAAAAAAAAAAATCAAGTAAATTTAAGCCAAAAATTTAAGGGTAAGGCTCAGACCCGGAGGCTGACAGAATGCGGCATTAAAATCATACTTCATAGATTGTAGAGTCAGAAGGGACCACAAAAGATCATCATGTCTGACCCCCTGCCCTGGCAGGAAAGAGGACCAAGGTCAGATGACCCCAGCCAGGTGTCTATCAAACCTCCTCTTGAAGACCTCCAAGTTAGGCGATAGTACTACCTCTTTTGGAAGCCGATTCCAGATTCTAGCCACCCTTACTGTAAAAAAAATTTCTTCCTAATGTCTAACCTCAATCTATTCTCCACTAGTTTGTGCCCATTATTCCTAGTTACTCCTAGGGGTGCTCTGGTAAATAGCGCATCTCCAATTCCCTGTTGTCCTCCCTTGATAAACTTATAGGCAGCTACAAGATCTCCCTTCAGAAGTCTCTTATGAAGGCTGAAGAGATACAGATCCCTCGACCTCCCCTCGTATGGCTTTCACGGAGACTACTAATCATGCGAGTGGCCCTCCTCTGAACCCTCTCCAGATTCTCCGTGTCCCTCTTGAAGTGCAGCACCCAAAACTGGACACAGTACTCCAACTGCGGCCTGACCAATGTCGCATAGAGCATCACCTCCCTCCATGTGCTGGTCATGAATCAGCTAATGCGCGACAAGGTGCGACTGACTTTGTTGATGGCTTCGTTACACTGCCGGCTTACACTTGGAGTCAACTATGACTCCAAGATCCCTCTCCATTAGATAGCAATTTCATGTTTTAAGTTACTGAGTAATATTTACAGAAATTAACAAGCAATTATCCAGCTTTGAAGATAACTGGAATTGTTGGCAGAGAGATTGGGTCAGCAGCACAGGATGAGAGAGAAACAAAACAATCAATTGCTACAATCTATTAATGTAAACAAATGTAAACAAGCACTGAGTGAGACTAGAAGTTCTATGGGGTCTCCTGGCCTTATAAATTATTATAGCCCACGTTAGCGTGTTTAGAAAATACAATTCAGATGACAGTGTAAATGTCTTGCAGAACAGATCTGTTCTCCTGTTAACAACTATATAAAGATAAGCTCAAAAACACCCCTCATCCCACCAGAAAAAACAAAACAAAACGATAAAATGTGACTAAGTCACATCTGCTTATTTTAATAAGCAAAATGTATCATTATCATCTCTGAGGAACAGCTCTAGGAAGGCAAACTAAATTCTTTCCTACCCTACCAGCAAGATTAGATTAATCTTTTTAGACTCCAGGCACCCAGGATAGACTTGAGGCACTGCTCAGAAAAAGACTAGTTCATCGTTTTCATTTTTTTTTTTTTTACTACAGAAAAATAATAGAGCAGTTTTTCTGGTACAAAGAACTAAGAAAAACCAGAACTATGGATTTCTATTTTAAATGTCTTGGTTTATCTTGTGAATCTGTTGTAAACCTAACAGTAGTACCACTGTGTGACATCCCACAGCACCCTTGAAAGGATCTCAAGGCAGCCCATGGTACTATGACACTGGTTAAGAATCCCTGGTTTAAGCTCTATCCATATTCTGCTCATCTGTGCCACCTCGGATACATTAACACAAACGCAACAAGAACAGAACAGGTTCTGTACACACTGTATACACAGTCCCCACCTTTCTGACAGATATTTCCTAGCAGCTTGACCTTTTTCCATGGTAAACTGATAAAGTTGATAGTGTCATTTTTATGGTGTAACTTTTCAAAGCAAAGCTCTAAGTCCAGAAGAAAGGACTAGTAAGAAGAAAACAGACACAGCTGGGAGGCCAATAGCAGACAGACACAGAACTGAGTACATTAAAAAACTCATAAGATACATATTTTATTTGGAGCTCTAAGTTTCTGATGTCCCATATTTGTCAAAATGTACCACATATTAGTAGCACGAGATATTACTCAAACTAATTCCAAACTGACCCCAAAGCAGCCAAAAAATATCACTGTAACAGCACAGAAACAAGGTTGTGCTAAAAACAGTCTGTGAAAACACTTTGTTGTTTTTTTTTAATAGGGTGAAAAGTTAGCTTTTCATTACAAGCTTCCAGAAAATATCAAAGCAGATCAGAAATAGTTTTGATACGTTAAAACAAATGTAAGTGCTAGACTAAGAAAAACTATATTGTTCTGATACATGTTCAAACATCATTGAAATGAGAAAAGGAAGGATGTATGTTCTATGTCCCAGCAACCTTTTTTTCCATAACGCCCCCCCCCCCAACCACTTCCAATCAGTACCAATCTGACCATGGGCTAAAATTTTCTTCCGAAAATGAGTATATGGTTTATTGGGCAAACACAAATTCAATCCATTGTAAGCTAATTATTAGGAATGGATCTGAGTCTGTAAATTAGTACATGAGAAGAAAATAGTCCAAAAATGAGAACTTAATATAATATCCTTGAGTTTCAAGAGTGGCCAAAAAAGCAGTTGGCAGGGGGTATCAGATGAAGTTCAAGTCTACGCCACTACATCAAGCCATAAGCAAACGTGCCAGGCAGCAAGTCACACTTCCAAGTATGGATACCAGAAAACTGAAATTGACTTAATTATTGCAAGTTTAATTTTGCTGGTTTTGATACGCCAAGGTAAAGGTCCATTTTTGAGAACTGCAGACAGAAGGCTTCAACTCCCCAGCCCAGCCTCTGGCTTCTTTACTTTTCATTCCATCCAGGGAGAGCACACACCAACTGCTGAAACTTCCTTAGCCTGACGAAGGGTTTTTGAACCCGAAAGCTTGCTTAATAACTATTCTCCAACTATTCGGGTTGGTCTAATAAAAGATATCAGATTCACCCAAGGAACCTTGTCTGTCAATGAAAGGAAAGTACTTTTTCCCCCTTCTCTCATTTCTTGCACAACCCCAGCAGCAGAGGCCACTGCCTCTTGTTCCTATATACAGTTAATTCTTCACTAGCTGAAAAGTGAAACAAAGAACACCCAATCAAAACACTTTGTTGTTTCATGACTAGGAAACTGTTTACTTCCCTGAACAAGACAAATTCATTTCCTCCTGCATCCCAGCTTGGAAGCTTTGTCTGTGAGTACAAGTATAAATTTCTGTAGTTAACCAAAAAAGACAAGCATGCATGTACATAATGCAAACTGTTGACGTGCATTTCTGAAGGGTTCACTGTACTTTAAGGATCATCCTTCAAATCATGCCAGTGTAACAGCACTTTTTTCTAAAGTGAACTGGCTGGGAGTAAAAAAAGTTTCTAAACCCCCAAAGAAGAGACTAAAGAGATTCTGAAATACTGGATTTGTAAAGCAATAATGTTTCCAAGTTATGCAGATGGGGGACCAGTATTAGTGCTTACTAATAAATTTGGTAGTAATTTCTACATAACAATAAAATTAAATTTACATGTATGCTTCCATTTATGTATTGTATTTGTAGTTTGATGAGTAAAGACTGTTCCAAATAAAAATGGGAATATATAGATTAGTAATGGCAGAAGTTTGGTGAAGTTAATAAAAGGTATTTGATGACTGGAGTTCAGGAATACTTGAGTGACATCTGCTTTCCTCAGGCTAGAACCTGTAGGCTATGCAGTTCAGAAATAATGATTCAAAACTTGAATTTCTGCTATACTTATTTTCCAGATCTATACACATAAATACATAAATCTGTCAATGGTTAGTTATTCATGTGGATAGTTATCCATCTTCATGTGACACCCAAATTAACTACATTTTTCCCTTGAAAAATGTAATGGGATACAACAGATTTTTGCTAAATCAAGATGAACCTACTATCCCTACAGTGGAATTATTAAAGCTATTTACAAAACAGTCCCCAGATTGCTTTTGTTTTAAAATTAAAGAATGTAAATAGGATTTGCAAGATGACCGTCAAAGTAAATTGTAGGATAAAAGCTGAGAAACATAGATACTACCTCCAAGAGCAGTGAACCTAAAATAGACATTGTTTACAGGTGACAATGAGAGAGACAATAGAAAATGTCAGAAGAGTTCGTATTAGAAACATAAAAAACAGGATCTCCTGGTTCTTCAAGTCCAGACCTTGGCTGCTAGAGACAACTATATCATATAAAATGTTACTAATCTAGCATCATATTGAAATCAATTACGTTTCTTGTCTCTCACTATGTCCGAGAGGCTGGTCTAGAACCTCACTCGTCTGATGGTTAGAAATCTTTTGATTTATACCCATTTGTTCTTGTGTCTTGATTATCCTTGTTTCAATAGCTCTTCATCCCCTTGATGTTGTTTTTTATCTGCATGTATTTAGAGCAATCATCTCTATGCAGATTTCTCTGTAGCCTAAACAAACCAACTTCTTGTAGTCTTGTCTCAAAGTGAGCTCTCCATTTCTTGGATCATCCTAGTAGCCTTTCTTGCGCACCTCTTCATTGAATTGAACTTCCTTGAACATGAACTACCAGACCTTTATACAGAATTCCAGGTGAGTTCTTACCAGCTCCTTTTACATATGTAGTAAATATTTCCCTGTCTTTTCTAATGGAGTTACAAAGCAGTTTCAGAAAGTAATGACAATTTTGAAATAAAACCATATTGTGTGCAATGATCGTTTACTGGATAACATCATTTCTCTACATAGCTGTAAACAATGTGGCTTCAGTGTTCCCCGCTACTCTGTAGTTTCCCACTCACTGCAAGCTATATATTTTATTTCAAAATTGCTGTTACTTTCTGAAACACCCACATAGCTTGCCCGATGCATCCTGAGATCATTTCTGCTTTCCATGGCTGTATCAGACTGGAGGCTCAGCCTGTGATCTACTAATATACTCAGGTCTTTCTTCCCCTCTCAAGTCCAGATGACAAGCTTCCATGATAACACTTTTTTTTATTATTATCTCCTAAGTGCATGACTTTACACTTTGTTCTATTAAATTTCAATCCATTTCTACTACAATCTTAATCAGCTAGTTTTTCCTGTGTTATTCCACTTCTCCTCCATATAGATTATGAATCTCAATTTTATTTACTAGATTTGTGTCCTCACTAAATATCATTAGCACATTCCTACTTTGTGTTAAGGTCATAAATAAAAACATTTAATAAAATCAGTCATAATACCATCTTTAAGGAACTCCACAAGTAACCTGTTTTGGCCCAGCACAATCTGTTGTAGTCTGCCCGTTTAAATAGTTTCTTATTGCCTTATAATTCTTATGCAAAACCACCATCTCCAGTTTCACATGCAATACTGTATCAAAAGCTTTACTGAAGGTCTGAAATTCTTTATTATATTTCCTTTGCAAAAATCAGTTACTTATCATAATCAAATAAAGACAGCCAGTTAACACACATTTTTGGTAAATCTATACTGCATTTTATCTTATTTTCCACATACGTCTATGCCTTTAATTATTCTTTTTTTTGACAAATGTTCCAAGACCTTGCCAGCTTTATACATCACACTAACAAGCCTATTTTTACTCACATTACAATATTTAAGAAAGGTAGAGCAAGTACAGTCTTTCAGTAACACCCCTAAATTTGATACAATGATAAAAAATAATCCTTGCAGTTTCAATGGCCAGTTTTCTATGAGGGACAATATGTAGTCCTCCTTATTTGAAGGCACTGACCACTTTTAGTTTACTGGAGAACAATTTTCAAGATCCCAAGTCAATACATAACTACAACAAATAAGAGCAATGACATGTAACAAGAAACTTGACTGATACTATCAGGAAAAGACTGACAAAGAAGAATTTCTTTCTTTCTAAACATTCAGATTTGAAGGGTTATTTTTAGACTAAGAATTAAGCCAAATGCTTTCAAAGATTAGTAAAAGAAATTCAAAATAAAAGCACTGAACAAAGGCAGTGTGCTTCACATTGAAATAATATTCTACTCACTGTGTTATAAAATTACTGAGTAGCATGAACACGGACAAGATCTGCCAAAGTCAGCTGGCAATCTAGTCACTGCATGGCTTATGTAGACACGCTCAAGACAATTGAATAAGCATTTACCTGTCTTTTTTGCTTTTCCCTTTTTGTTTCCCTGCAAGAATTCGTAGTTCTTCTTCAGTAGGATGTTGATACCATCGTAAACTAAAAAGAGAAAAAAATTTTTTTAGTTAAACACCATATCAATAGAAGCATTTAACGTACTTATGTAAAAGTTTCAGTTGCATATTACAAAACTCTTGGTTCAGAGGTGATGACTTTTATTAAACTAAAAAGTAGCAAATATTTTTTCCTTTGCAAGCTTTTGGGCACATGCACCCTTCATCAGGCTAAGAAGAAATTAAAGATTGTATTAAGTCTTCTTAGGTAGAAAATAAATTTCATTTTGCACAAGAGAAGTTGAGGCTGGACGTGTATTCCCCTGGGTATCTGGGAGTCCTTTTGTGAAAATGTTGCTCTGCGTTGCAAATGTTGCACTATGTTGCAAATAAGGCTGTCTTCGTCCCTGGATTTGTCATCCTATGTCAGAGGCAGCCAAGGAGGTACAAAAACCTTTCTTGTTTATTATTTTTTGTTTTTATTTTTAATTTATTGTTTATTATTGTTGCATATTACAGCACTTCAATAAAACACCTGTGTCAGTACGAATGAGATTCAACCTAAACCGTCAAAACTTCACTTTATCTGAGGTGAATGGATTTTTTTTTTAAATTAAAACAAGTATTTAAGCATCTCAGATCCTAAATTAGTAAGAGAATGAAATGGTAGTCATTACATTTAAAAAAAAAAACCCTCTTAACTGTGAAAACACTGCCACTGAACTTGGTAAAACACATGGTAACTAAGCCCATGTCTACAGAGGAAAAGCAAATCAGAAAAATTATACCACTGTAACTATGCTGTACAGACACTACTCTAGAATTATTTTGCTCTAGGATAATTATTCCACTCACAAAGGTGGTAATTTTCCAAAATAAAAAGTGAATTTTATTCAATAAAAATGCTGATGCAGCAGAAATATTCTGGAATAGCTAATGCAAAAGTTTTTTATTACCTATACCACACTATTTTCCCATGCAGACCTTAGCATACCGTTTCCTGCCCTGACTTTGGTTTTGTTTGTTTTGGGGTGGGAAGGAGGGGGCCACGTCAGCTAGCCCCATTGCTGCAAGCCCCATCAGCTGACAGGCCTCCCAGTCATGGAAGCACATGGGGCTCCCCTGCAGCTGTTAGCACCATCAACTGACAGGGCTCCCAGCCACAGAGGAGCGCCTGGCCAAACATTCAATTAATAGCGTGATGCGAACAAGCCACAAAGTTAGTACACGTTTTTTGTGAACTAACTTAGTGGCTTACTCCTCATTTTATTATACCGTTAACTGACTGAATATGTGGCTGGGTCACAACTTAAGACAAAATTAACTAGTTAATCACGTCTTAAGTGTAATGTGTTGCGGGAGCCTAAAAGTGAGCTCTCCCTTAGTCTGTTCTAAGTACATGCATTATCTTCAACATTCAAGGATGGAAATGTGGATAAGGAAGTTATTGGTCTTAATATGAACAATGGATTTGGAAAAAAGTTACTTGAAAATTTTCATTTGGCAAGGAGTAAAACCTACAAATTTGTAACGGGTATTTCAGCCTGCTTTTAGCTTTGGAGCAGAAACGTAAGAGCCAATCACTGACAGAGGGGACTACACTGCTCTCTGGAGTTCCTGCCTTTTAACCACCTGCAAAAACAAGGGTAATTCACTTTTTACTTTGCTAAAGTACAGATTGTGTTGTGTGTGCCTTGTGGAAGAAACAAAAGAACTTGTACCTCAAATAGGGAAATTCCCCATCACAAAAACAATTCCCAGTCATGGGATGCCATTTTCCATCTCTATTCTGGATGTTCGTTTGTCACTAGGGTGGGCCACATCTGCGTGCCTTACCAGAGAGGAGGGAAGCAGGGAGGAAATCAGATAATTTTCCTTAAGAAAGTGGTAAGTGTTAAGATTCAGAGATCTATTACCATGAAAATCCTATTGCAATGGTGGGAAACATAAGCAGTCTTCAAATAGGAGGAGCCCAAACAAGGTTAATTATTTATCGTCATTATCTATCATCCCAGGATCTGGAGGCAAGGAGACTACTTCAACCAAAAAAATGGCATTGGTTTAAGGACTGAATTCACAGAATTCTGGTAAGTAAAGCCTCCAGCTGCATAAAAGATATGCATACAGCCATGAATGATGCGTGCCCCCGGCAGCTGGAGGGGGGGGACATGGCAGCAGTAAGCCGCGAGTTCCTGAAGATGCTGCTGGCGCTGGCGAGCACTGACCAGGGGTCAACGACCACCTGCAGACGCTGCCAGCAGTGTTGGCAGCAGTCTGCAGGGACCGCAGACTGCCCGCAAATGCCGCCGGCAGCATTGGCAGCGCCTTTTTGCAGGGGGTGAACCAGCATGCTCAGGGGGTGCTCCTGCCCCCACGTACACCCCCTACATGTCGCCCCTGCATACAGCAGATGCAATTTCTCTGCCCTGAGACTATCAGTTCTCCCAAGATCTGGACTTCGCTATATGTCAGAAGTTAGAATTTCTTGAAATTGCTTTGGGAATGAATGCTATGATAGCTATAAGGTCTATTTGTGCAAATTAAATATATAATACTGGGTATCAGAGAAGTGTCCCAATTTCAGAAATCTGTCTGACTTAGCACTATAGTCTCGGTACACTACTTGGTGCCCAGATGTTATGGTAATACAAATAATAAATACTTAAGTGTATAAGGAGTAGTATGACTTGGTATTGCTATCTCAAATAGAAGGAGGTTAAAAGGATGTGGTTTATAATCTGTGTAGTACTTGAATAATTGCTTTCTCAGGGCTTCTTAATGTTAGATTGTGTAGAAACCTCTTCTTCTTGAACATGCCAATATTAATAAACTACAGGGATCTTACCTTTTTGTTTGAACACTCATACAGCTAGCATTAAGGCCTTCCTAGAGAAACTCAAGGCTATATTTCACTTGTTTTAATATAATACAACTATGGACTTTGCATCAGTCAAGAGATTTACGTTTTTGTTTGTTTGTTTTTTAAATTTAGGGTGTATGAAAGTGAATTTCTTTATTCAATTATTTATTTTCAATCTATGTAGTCTTCAATGAAGGATTTGTTTGTGCAACAAGAGTCATATCTGAGATAGATCAAAAGGTCCAAAGCTAGGTTAAATCAGGCCCACGAGTCAAAAATGCTTAATTCAAAGGCTATAGAGAACATCAAGTGTTGCTCTTTCCTCCCTGTCTTTTGTATGACTTGGGCACAAATGTCAAAAAGTTTGGAGATATGACCTGCTTCAGAATTTAGAGTCATTCCCACAGGAGTTCAGAGACACTGGTGGCGGGACCCACAGAGCTGCGCTGCTGCCTAAACCCAGGAGGAGTCCCTGTGGAGCTGAACACACTACCACAGGAGTTAAATGGAAAGGAATAAGACTGGGCCCAGAAACAAGAAGTTCTACAGACGTGAGAAAATGCGAGTAAGCAATAAGAAAAATAATTAGACAAAATGCTTCATGTTCATCTTCAAAAATACATGCAGTTAACATTCAAGAAAAAAATGTTTTAGTACAATGCGAGGACAGAGCTTGCATTAAGGCAGCCATCAAACCTATAAAACTGTACTGAACAGATAAAAAAACTTGTGTCCTGCTAATAAGAAGAGTTTAAAAAAAAAAATCTCATTTAAGTGGAATCCAGTGCCACTTCCACTGCATCTTTAGGATGAACACCAGAGAAGAGTCCTGAACAAGAATTTGGACAGAAGTACCTTGTCAACAGTAGCAGAGTTAAGGGATGCTTAAACCATACCTAGGTACAAGACCTCATTGCAGGTCTGTTTGCAAACATGGTTCTTAGTAAATAAGGGTTTGGTTGTTATTTTTTAAAAGCTCACAGAAATCCCAGGGACAAAAATGTAAAAGGCATGCAAATGATGATGTTGCTTATTGGCTGAAAAGCTTTAGCGTTTATAATCTAAAAACCAGAGAGATGCTTGAAGACACACAGGTTTTAGTATAACAGAAATTTTTTAAAAGTGTAACTCAAATCTATTTCAGACAGGATATACATTACGGTCAACTAGCTCAGGTACTAGCAGCAGTCAAACCACAGGAAGTACAGTGTAAACATAACCTCAGCATATGTGGTTTAAGGCCATTAGCTAGGGAAAAAACTGAAAGACAGAGGTGGTATGAATTGAAAAGTGATTTATGGTTGGGATTAATTGATTAAAGTTGGGAAGTCACATGTAGCAAGCACCTAAACCTGCAAGTTACATGCACACAATTAACATGAACAATTAAACTTTGTCGAAGTTTACTGACAGTAAAAGATTGGAGGAGTATGATTCTCAATTAACTGAAAAACAGTGCATTTGTTCTCCCATTTATCAATGATAGAAGGTTCACTTGCTTTGGAAACCTATAACTTAGCATTTTTTTTACATTCTATTTGTCCTATCAAAGGTCTGTATTTTTGTGTGCTTTTTTTTTTTTAAATGTAGAATACACAAATTCCTAGTTTAATAGAGAAAGTGTGTGTGTGCTAGCACGCATTTTTACGTTAAAAAGTGTAAATTTCTCAATTATGAGTTACCTAGTTCTTTAAAGATAATAAATTTTGTTAGAGATTTAAAGACATTGGTAGAAAAGCCTGCTGGCCTTTGGGAAGGCAGCAAAAACAGACAGCAAATAACTTAAAATGATGTTATCAGAGCTTGAAAAAGTTCAGTAATGAATGAATAGCTGAAGAGAGCCTGAAATCAAAAGAACACACAAATGCATGATCAGATGGGAGAAAATTCTCAGTTTAGCTCTCCTTAGAGGAGAAACTGATGTTTTCCCCCCTCCTAAGCAAAATGAGGTTACTGAGGCTATCCTCAGACTTAGATTCAGATGGTTTTTTTGTGGTCAGCAAAGCAATAATGCAGTCAAATCACTGGTATTCAAATACAGACGAATACTGCAAATTTTCAAAACTGTTTGACTTAAGAGGTAACAGGAAAATTCCCATCAAGGTCACTGGGAGAAGAATCAGGCTAATACTGACTGTGGAAATACAAAGCTATTCACTAACAACATCTATACAGAAAATCCTGCATAGCTCATTAAGAGAACACAAAGCTTAAAAAATAGATACAACTCAAACTAAGAAGTTCAGCAATATGAAAATCATAAATTTAACAATATACAAAATCAAAAGTGTTCCAAAAGCATTTGCTATATAGCTGCATGTATTTTTAAAAAGAGGGTGTAAAAAAAAGAAAATATGTCATTTGAATAAAGATCACAACACATACTGTTAAAAGATAAATGTCACCTGTAATTTCATATGTATTAAATAACTGCAGAACTTCACAAATAATTATCCTGAAATTATTTTAGAAGACCTGAAAGTGTGCTGTGATATTCAATATCCTGCAGATGAACTCAGAAGTGACATCTACACTGTAGTAGTGTTTCCATTCAGATTATCCACTTACCCATTACTAGAATCCCTCCCTCTTCAAAATGCACCAATTCCCAATATACTCAAAAGCTAACTTAAACGCCATTGTTAAATATTAATACTTAAAATATGACCATTAGAGAACAATATTGATTACATAACAAGAAAAATCGGGACAGATTTGTAACCCAGCAGATGCTCAAACAACTTTTACCCCAATCTACTCTGATAACTACTTTCTAATCGCATCTGAGCTTTCCACATTGTAACATGGTGTGAGTTCTTAAAGAAAGAGAAAAGTGGGCCAACCATAAAATGCAGAAGAAAATGGTAGTGAAAAAGTTAAATAAATACACACACACCAGTAAACAGCATATCCAAAGTCTAGGTATACTTGAGAAATCATTGAAAAAAAGTGGAGATTTGGGATTTCACTAATAACTTGGAAGGTTATTGTTAAGATCCTGAGAATATTAACTATGAGCAGGACAATATCCTCTAATGATTCAGAGTTTCTTTAGAAGAATAAGCAAGCCATACAGTTTTCTAAAATTTAAGACACAGATTTACATTCACAGCAGCTGCTGTTTTTAGTTATTATGGACACAATCATACAGGGAATGCTCCCCTTGCAACTCATTATGTCTGTTTGATCTATTGTTGTGAGAGAGCAGCATATTGAAATTTACACAAATCCTACCCTCTGAAGTAGTCAGAAAATAGGATTTGGGGTAAATTTCTAAAAAAATTCTTACATGCAAGGCTAATCAAAATGGGGATTAGGAACACAAGGCACTGCAAAAATGTTGAGCATTATGGGACCTCAAGATATGAATTTTTTTTAACAATATTAAAAAGATAAAAATCGCTATGTAGCTCATCTCTTTAAAAATAGGAAGTGCCAGCCAACCTCTAATTTTATGAACGAGAAGCTTAAAAGTATAAGACTGTTGCTTTAGAACAAGCATTTTATTATTTTTTCAAGTCCTATAATCATCCAGGTTCAGGTACAAGCAATGCAGATGATGGCATTCTACTGGAAATAGTTTAAAATTAGTTTAATTTTCTGATTTATAAATATATAAAAAAAAACAATTGTCAACGCATCCATATATATACACCATAGCAATTATGTTTATTATCTTACCTGCCACTACAGAGAAGCCAACGAGCAAGAGAATAGTGAGGTATGATCTTCTGTATGACACTAGCCATCACCATAGTAATCACCAACTGTACACCTATCACAGCCTGTGGAGAAATAAGTAGTTAAGTAACAAGTCAATATATGTAAAAGTGCTGAAGTATGCAGTTTTCATACTATAAAGCAAAAGATTGCTTTTGAAATAAGAATAAGATGTTTTAAAAAAGGTAAAAGGAGGGGAGGGGGGAAAGAAAGAAAAGAAACCTACTACGTCAATTTTCATGAAATGGACTCAGACTTGCTATTGTCAGCCTTACACTGGTTCCAAAAAATGCACTGCTAGACCAAAGGACCAGGAATATATATGTCTGACAGTTCAGTGCTAGACATGTGTCCCAAACCCCGCCCCCCCAGAGACTTCTCTGTGTTCCTGTGATAAAGTCAGTCATTTCTGGCCAAGGCATTTCACAAGCCATGGGACTTTAAAATGATGCCACTTTGATTACTATCTTGCTTTTTGTTCTCACTTCACTTCTGACATTATTTTAAACAGCACAAACCTGCTAAAGTTAACAAAGATTTATAATACATTTAAATATCCTACATTTGCAGTTTTCAAGCAACATGCTTCATTTGTTCCCAACTTAATTCAGGGGACTAATAACCACAATGGAGAAGGAGGATAAGGAAAGAGATATCAGATCAGCATAGCATGAAGTTCTAACTGTTCTATCCATCCCAATTATATGCACAAATTCAGACTGAGGAATGACCAGCTACCTCACAGTGCTGCAGAAAGACCTGGTGGGTTACAGTGGACCATCAGCTAAAGAGGAGCCAAGAGTGCTCTCTTTTTTGCAAAAAAATAAAAAAATAAAAAGCAATAGCATACTGGGCTGTATTAACAGAACAGTCACTTGCAAAGGATGTGATCCTTCCACTCTATGTGATGCTGATGAGCCCTCACCTGGAGCAGTGAGTCCTATTTTAGGCACTGTACTTCAAGAAATACATGTATACATGGACAAATTAGAAAAAGTACAGTGGAGAGCAATAAAAACATCAGAGGTCTAGGAAACAGAATTTATGAGGAAAGACTGAAAGAACAAAGACTATCTAGCCCAGAGAAGAGAAGACTGGGGGTGAGGGGGAAGAGATGTGATAAATCTTCAAATACCTAAAGGGATGATGGTGGAAATTTATCTCTGTGGCCAAGGGATAGGACAAGGAGCAACAATCTCAAATCACAGCAAGGGAAATTTAGATTAGATATTAGGCAAAACGCTTCACAATGAGGGTGGTTAAACAGTTAGACTATATTCAGAGAGACCGTGGAAATGTCATAGGACGTGTTTAAGGGCAAGTTAGACAAACACCCATCTAAAATGGTTTAGTCAGGAACAATCCTGCCCTGGGCAAAGAGTTGGACTAGATGACCTTCCAGACCTACGTTTCTATTATTCTGTGCACCACAGGAACATAGAAGAGAGACAATCTTCACCAATGCAAAATTGCTTAAGTAAAGCATACTCAGTTCTTTGGAAACAGATCAAACCCACCCCTACTGCAGAAGGCAAAAAACCAAACAATGCCCCCCCACCCCAAAAAACCCACCAACAGTCCACAGCCCATGCCAGTCTGAGAAAATCCTGCCTTGATCTTGAATCTGGCAACTTGTTTGACCTTGACCTCTGACAAGACCAACCAACTGCGTACCTCAGAGGTTTCTCATTACAATTTAGGAGTACTTGAGTATACAGGTCAAGATCCAAAGCTTTGGAGTAAAGAGAAGAAGGAAAACAGGGAAAAAGGAAAAATTCCACCCCACAAGTGCCAAATAATATATATTTAAGAAGGGCCAACCTTTGTTAGCAACCAGAAAAGCCTTGCTATATAAAATTACCAGAAGCCACGCATAGGTAAACAAGTTTGTACATATTTGTTCTTACACAATATTGTTCTTTAACATAAATAACTTTGTCTTTCCTAATATTTATTCCAATAAATTACTCTTTATAAATAATTTACCCTTCTGAACCTCTTCTGTTCCTCAAGTTAAATCCAAGCTCTTTTAAATCTCATCTCATCAAGACAGGACAATTAGGGAAATGAAGACCTTATTAGCCCTTCTCTGCATCTATTCCAGATTTTTTTAAAAATGAATTTAAACCAGTGATTCTAAACCAGGGTTCTGTGGCACCCTGGAGTGCCTTGAGAGCTTTTCAAGGGTGCTGTAATGTGCATCGCAATGTTAGCACTGTTAGGTTTGCAAACATGATTCACAATATAAACCCAAGAGTTCTTTGCAACAGAGGAATTGCTTTATCTTTCTGTGGTAAAAACCGAGTGAAAACTAAGAACTGACATTTTTCTGAGGGCTGTCTCAAGTTTAAAATCAGTAGTTCTCGAACTTTTCAGTCAAATGACAAGAACTGTCCACAGTCTTCTAATTGGGGTCTTACCAATGCTTGAACAGTGACTGTAATATGTCTCTCTACATCCTTCTTAATTTGCCCTCGAATTGGATTAGTTTTTTCACAGCTGCGTAAAAAAAAACCTTGATTGTTATCCTCCAAATGAGTACATCAAGTCCTTCTCTTCCTCCATCACCTTCAGACTATGAACCCCCAATAAGACAATCTTATGAAAAAGGTCCTTGTATTAGCCATTAGTACATGGCTTCACAGTTTTTACTATTAAATTTCACACCATTTCTCTTACTCCAAGATATTATCTGATTCTTCCTATATGATAATCCAATCCTCCTCTACACTTGAAATCTCTCTCAACTTTGGGTTTTTGAATTAGAGATGGCACACATTTCTTACACCACAGTTGCTAATGAATACATTCAAAACAGCATAAATCCCCAAACTGATCCCCAAGGATCACCACTAGTAATCTCTCTCCAAGCAAATAACTCCTCTTTTAATATAACCTGTTGTAATCTCTCCTTTAGACAGCTCCTTTGCCACTTCAAAATTACAGTATTAATCCTCTTAACTTGTAATTTCCCATGAGAGAAAGTACCAAATGCTTTGCTGAAATCTAGATGGATAAGGACAAGCCAACAGACCTGTTCTAAGAGGTCAGTTACCCTATCACAAGAAGATACTAGTCTGACATGATCTTCCTTGGACAAAATCCATGTTGCATTTTGCCCAATCTTCTGCGATCATGTCCTTGATTAGTCTTTCCTTCAGTAGCTGTTCTAAGATAGCTGGTCTTCCACAGAATTTAAGTCAAACTAACAGGCCTACAGTTGTCTGCGTCTCCATCCTCTGCCTTTTATGATTCCAGGCACTATGCATGCTCTTCTCCAACAACAGGGCATTATCTTCAAATTAAATTCACTCCAAATCCATGCTACATGAGTTACCATTTCTTGGGAACATTCTTTCAGTATACTGAGACTCTCTATCCCAGACAATTATCTAGTTTTGTCACAGTAAGCAATCTAAGATTTGCTTCCACATTACACATGATAATTTCTATTACCATATACTCATCCCCACTGCTTCAATTTTTAGTAAGCAGGAAGAAAAGCATTTGGTACTTTAATACTTGGACTATATACCTAGATTATCTTTTCTCTCTATACCCTTTTCAGCACATAATAATTCAACTTCTTTCCTCCAAATTATTTTTATATAATGTGACTGAAGAAGCATTTAGTTGATTCTTTTGGGCAAAAAATTTAGTTGAACTGGACCTTGAATTCTCATTTTGACTCCTTTAAAAACAAAAAGAGACAGCTCTCTTTATTGATCAATCTTTTTTCCATTCCTTTCAGTTTCTCTACTTGCTCTAGATTTCCTGTTTAAGATACTTGCTCACACAAACAGACCTATAGCATTTCTACAATTTTTCCCCCTTCTACTTGGAATAAATTGTGTATGTATTTTTTATTTAATGTACTTTCATGACTCTTCTGCATTTTAATCCTTGAGAGCTTGAACCTACTTATTTTTCTTAACTTTTCAAAGTTTGTTCATCTGTAGTTCAAAACATAAGTCAGACTTAATTCTTACCAATTGTGCAATTTTAGTCTAAACTGAATCAACTTAGGATCGCCTGATCCAAGGGACATTAATAAGAAAGGTTACCAGGCTGCTGAGGAACGTTTACCATAGCAGAACAATAATCACACCAAGTTCACATCCCCAATAGGGAACACTGGAATCTAGTTGGGAAAATGAATGCTTCCATTCTTTCCTATAGACCTACTCCCTGGCCTAAAAGTATCTCCCATGAAATGATGCATTCTC